TTATTTTCTTTTGATTTAACCAAATCTGGAGGTTTTGTCCCACAAACTCACCTTCATTGTCTGAACATATAAGTACTTTTCAACTTCTTGATAGATTAATTTTCTTTCAATTTTTTCAATTATTTCCTTAGCTGTCTGACCCTTTTCCTATAAGAGAAAGAAAAAAATAATTACTCTCCAATAGTCATCAGTAGATAAGATGTACCTTTTACCTCTTTTGGACATTGGCTTTATTGGTCCAATCAAGTCCATGTGTTACAGCCCCATTCAATTTCACATAACACTTATTCCTCGTCTAATCCTTTTCTGGTCAGCAAGTTCAATATGTATTATTTAGTACATATCCTAAAAATATTTCTTTGTAAGTTTTTGCTTCAAGTTTGTGTACTAAACCCCCTTTATTCAACCCACAGACAATAGTAACAAATCTTTTCATATACCTTATGTTTGGCTTTCTCTTTTGCTAAACCTCATAAGGAGTTTTGGATGGTCAGCTAACTTTGCTCAGTTTTTTATATGGACAGCTATACTCACTGCTTTTGCCCAAAAATACATTGTCAAATTTGAATGTATCATAAGTGCTTTTGTTGTTTCTTTGATGGATCTTCTTCCTCACAGCAACCCTATTGCATTACGGTGTCCTTGCTGGACTGAAATTATGTTTTATTTCTTTTTGATTTAAATATACCTAGAAGTCTTGTCTCACAAACTCACCTTCATTGTCTAAGCATGTAAGTACTTCTCAATTTCTTGACGGATTGATTTTCTTTAAATGTTACCAGTATTTTTATTTCCTCAGCTGTCTGACCCTTTTTCTATAAGAGAAAGAAAAAAATAATCACTCTCGAATAATCATCAACAGATAAGATGTACTTATTACCTCCTTTGGACATTGGCTTTATCGGTTCGATCAAGTTCATGTGTCACAGCCCCATTATTTTTGCTGTTTTTATAGTTTCCAAGTTCCTATGGATATTTCTACAGATTTTTGGCTTAAAACAACATTCACACTCAAGATTTATATTTACTTTTCATAACTATTACCAATTATGCATTCTCCATCTCTTCAATGATCCTCATATTTGCATATCGATACCACACATCTTTCTTTGTTGATATATATGCTGCCCTTTTTTTGTTTCTTCATTCCACATAGGCATTTCCTCTTCTCATAGCTTTCATTTGAACTTCTTCCTTTTCTTCATATACCTCAGCTCCAATATTCTGAAACTTCACACATTAGCGATGACCAGTGACTTTGATCAATGATATTAATATTTATTCCAATCAGAAATATAACATACCTTTTAATCTCACTCTATTCTCTACATCTTGTTGTTACAGGAGGTTCTCACTTAAATTAATTTTATTTCCTTTTGTCTGCCTAAATCATCTCCCTTGTTTGAACATTTATTTGATCACCAAATATTTCTATTCTGTATGTCATATAGTTAGCCAATCTAGAATCCAATAGACATCATACTTTACATATTTGTAAATTTATTAATAACAAGCTAATTAGCCGCAAATTACCTCTAAAAATTGCATGAGAATGTTGCCCAAAAGTACAGCTGTGCGGTGCAGCTATAACAGTTCATAAATTAATCATAGAAACTTGGAAATTTGTAATTTTTTCGGCAGCGTCGTCTCTATCCTTTTCTAACCGTTTGCATTAGGGGCATATTGAATTTATATTATGAAGAACAGGATGTCGTCACATTTCCTCAGTTCTTTATATAGCGTTATGTTAAGAATTATATACAATGAATTTTTCAGTAAAACACTAAAGAGGGATATGTCGTTTGAGCAGGACTAACCATAATTATTGTTATCGTTAACAATAGGGTGCAGAAAAAATAGAAACTATTTTTTTTTAATTTTTTATTTGTTTTCCTTATAGTCAAATTTTTATAACGAGTATACAAACGTTTTTAGGCTACGATGCAGATAATTTCAATACAATTTGGTAAATACATTATGGAAATATAATTACAAATAAATAAATAGAAATAAGCGATTTTCGATTAGACGAATATAACGTTGACAGAAGATCACATTGATAGAATTCCGAAAAAGTGACATCAATATCCATGGATGCTATTCATCAAAATTTTGGCTATGTTTTATTTCCAAAGTTCAAAGGAAACTTTGAAAATATATAAGAGATAGGAAATATTTTAAACTTTGTGCGTAGCTCTTAGCTTGGTATCGTTTCCCGAAGATTTCTCTTTAGAAAACGATACCAATTACCAGGTCTCACCACGTGGAGGTGGCTACGCATCGAGACCCGGACATGCGCCCTAATGGCGCAACCTACTGGTGCCATCCGTATCAAAGATATCCTAATCTAACTTGGAGCGAAAGAAGTTAAAGTGAAAATCTACTGACACTTTATTAAATTTCGTGTCTTACAAAGGGTTCGCGATTATTCGAAAGACCGACTAGCCTAGGCGATGTACTCCCGTGTACAGAGATAACTTCATACCTCGGCACCCTCCCGATCGCGCCTAGCTCAATTCCAGTCACTGTCGCACTCGCCAAGACTTACACG